AATATAAGTGCCTACACGGTATTTTAAAGTCCTATAATAATAATAGTTATTATAAGGCGGGGGCGCTTAAACTAGGAATACTAATATATTATTAAGTAGGTATTATTATTTTTAGTATTATTAAGGCGGGTATTACTAGGGCGGGTGCTACTAGAATAGGTATTACTAAAATAAGTATTACTAGGGCGGGTATTACTAAAAAGCAGCTTTAATTTAGGGGGGAATATATATAATAATTTAGTATATAAATACTTAGGGGGGCGGTGTTTACCATGTATTTAAAAAATAAAAAGGCTACTATACTTATTAAACTATTATAACTTTAAGGTTTAGTTATAATACTTTAATAACTTTTATAATTTCTTAAAGGTTATCTTAGGCAAGGCTAAAGTGCCTTTTTTACTAGCTTATAATTTTATTAAATAAGACCAGGGGCTTTTTAACTATTAAAATGCTAGCTATATATTTAAAAGTGTTTAAAATATAGCCTTTTTTTTAGCTTTTTTTTTTTAAAAATGTAACAACCTTTTTACTAACTTTAAGATATAGTTTTTCCGCCGCCAGGGCATTTAGCATGTACTTTTTAATTATTTTATATTTAAGCTAGTAATAGCTCCCTACTTTTAGCCTAAATTTTTTAAAAACTTATTAAGCTAGGTTGCTTGGGAGGCCTTAGGTTAACTAAATATATTAAGTATAATTATTTAGTTTATTAATTTATATAACTTAGGCTAAGATTATATTATATTTTATAATATAATTATAAAAATTATTAATTCACGTGCGTGGCTAGCTTTTAAATTTCTTAAAATACTAGTATAATTACTTAATTTAGCACTAGTTAAGGCGCTAGTATTTATTTAATATAATAATTTTTAAGATCTTTTAGTCTTATTTAGCGTACCCTTTTAGGTTCCTAATAATATTTAAAATACTATAACTATAATAACCTGCTACTTAAGTAACTTTCCCTAGTTTATTATAAATGTTCTAGTTTTTATAAGCTTGCTTATATACTTTTAAAAACCTAGTTATATTTTTATTATTAAATATAGGCGTGCCTAAAATACTAGAAATTAATATAAGGGTAATTAATAAAAGGTAATACTTTTTTTTTACCATGCTTTTTATATTTTTAAAGGTACTAGTATTATTACCGCGGGAATTACTAAAAGGCATGTAAATTTTATTAATAATACTACCGGGCTTACTTTTAGCCATAGGAAATATATTATTAAAATTTTTAGTTATAAGCATGGGTATTTATTTAGTGTTTTTACCCCCTTTTTTACTTAAAAACTTAAATGCGTGGGATATTTTTACTTAATAGTAAAAGTTAGTAAGCAGGCAGTAGGCTTATATATATTAAAAGTTTTAAATAATTTTTTAAAGGGTTAGGTTTATAAATACTTAGTAAAAAATAAAACTTTATAATTATAAAAAAAAACTTATAAAATATTTTTACTTTATTATTAAGCACTTAGTATAATTACCTAGGTGGGCCCTTAAAAGCTTTACTTTAAATTTATTAATTATATTTATACTAAATTTACTAATTTTATTATTTAATTTATTATATTTATTAAGTAATTAGTATTTCCTAGGATTACTAGGTTTATTATTTCCCTAAAAATTACTAGGGCGTTTTATACGCGGCCTACTTGCCTTACTTACTAAATTTAATTTATACTTATTATTTAATTTTTTTTAACCTTTAGGCCTTAATAGTTTTTTACCCCTTTTTTTAATAATTTTAGGTGCCTAAGTTACTAAGGTATAGCTATTAATATTAAAAACTTTTAATTTAGGGGTTTGGCGGGCGCCCTTTTTACCTTTATAATATTAAAAAAACATGCCCTGTGTTAATTATTAATATATAAAGGGGTAGTACTAAAGCCTGGGAGCTAAAGGGGCTAAATAATAATAAAAATTTAAAACTAAATAATATATAGTATAGGTAGGAATAATAGTAAAAAAGAAAATATATATATTAGGGTAAATAATAAACTAGGTACAGGAGGCTGGTAGCAAGGCTATAAGTACTACAGGAATTGATGTTGGGGTGCAACCCCACTACAATATAACCAGGTTTTTTGCACTTAAAATATATTATAAAAGTTAATTTTAACTAATTTTAATTTAGTACTATTTTAGTATAACTTTAAGGGGGTTTTATTATGCCAGGAGTTTATTTTATAGGTATTTTATTATAACTTTTTTTAAAAGTTTATCTTATAAAATAATTCCTTTTTTAGGTTTTTTTACCATAGGTAAATCCGTGTTAATTTCCTTTTAAATTAGTAGTGTTTTTTTTTTATTTAGCAAGTTTTAATTATTTATTATAATATAAGGTAATACAAGGTTATAAATATAATATATAAAACTAATATTATAAAGCAAGTTAAACTAGATATTTTTTAGTATTTAAAAGTTTTATGTTATTAAAATTATAAATTTTATTTTAAAGTAAAGGTAAAAGCTTGCTAAAATATCATTAAATTTATATTTTTTTATTATTTCTTAAAAAATACTATTTTAACATAGCTAAATAATTAATAAAATCCCTAGGATCCTGGTCTTTTTTTTAATAAGCTAACTTTAGTTTAACTATAGTATCTAGTAAACTAGTTATTAAACTTTTTAAGATTATAGCTATTTATTTTTTAAAATACTTTTAAAAAAATTCTTAATATTTCTTATTTATACCTTTTAATTTATTAGCATGTTAAATCTAGTTACTTTTATATACTAATTTTATTATAGTTAAAGCTCCTAGGATTTACTATTAATTTAATTTATATTTTTTAGGTGCTTTTTTAAAGTTTAATTTTAAAGTGCCAAGCTAGTTAAAATATTATTATAAGCTAAAATTAAAATTATACTTAGGTATATTTTTATTTTTAATTTTATTATAATTTTCTAGCAAATTATTCTAATATTAATATTATTTTAAAGGTGTATTATATTTAGCTAATTAATTTTTTAAATACTTAATATACCTTTTTATATCTTATAATTATTAGGTTACTAGCATTTTATAAATATTTTAATAGTTTTTTATAATAATACTTTTAATAATTTTAATAATAAAAGATTATTAAGTATTAAAAAGTCCTTTTTTAAGACTATTAAAATAATCCTATTTAAAAATAAGGTATAAGTATACTAGCAGCATAATATATATTTTATAAGTAGTTAATAAGTAAAAAAGTTAAAATTATAAAAACCTTAAGTAGGCTAACTAGGTACAAAACAAAGTATTAAAAGGGCTATTTAATAAGGGATTAATATTAAATTTTAAGGCCTAAAATATATAAAAACTAACTTTTAGCTAACTATTTTTTGCTAGGGCATTAACCTTAAATATACTATTAAAATAATAGTAATATTATTACTGCATAACAGGTTAATATTACCGTAATTCTTATTTTATTAGTTCTCTTATCTTATTAGGGCTTGGCACCCATGGGTGTGACACTTATAATATTCTTATAATATTTTTATAATATTTCTTTAATATTTCTTTAATATTTCTATAATATTTCTATAATACTACTTTTTAAAAAAATAAAAGTTTAATTAATTTTTAATTAATTTTTACTTATATTAATTTTTTATAGCCTTTATTAAAACTTAAAATATTATATAATTAGTATTTTTAAGATTTAGATTGATAAGTTATATATACTAATATACCTAGTATTTAGCTTTATTATATATTAAAATTTTTACTATTATTTTTAGTATTTTTATACAGTTAAATATAAGTTTTTTACTTAATTTATAATATTAAACTTTTTAAATAAACTTATATTTTT